GGCACACTAGGTAGCAAGTCCCCCACCCCCTTTCTCTCTGCCCCAGTCCCCCATCCTCTCCTGGATATGTAGTGAAACCTGATTGTGCAGCTGCCATCCTGATTTTTCTGACACCCCAGCACTTCCTGTAATGCCATTAATGGTCATTAAAGAATGCAAGTTTTCAAATGCAGAATTTTTTTTCATTTTTTATTCATATTTTATTTATTTCATTTATATAAAACATCTTGTATTTATGGCTTATTTTTGGAAGTTGTGGGGCCTGGGTGTGTTTTGTGGGAGTAGGGGAAGGAAGGGCAATGAAAATGAGCATCCTTCCATGCGAGTCCATCTACCTCGAAGTGTAGCTAAAAAGACAGACTAGTCACTTGACTGTTCTCTCATCTAAGTCATTGATGAAGATATTGAAGAGTCCTGCGCCTAAGATGGAACATTGTGGTACCCCACTGCTTACCTCTCTCCATGTGGATGTAGTGTAGTGAGAGAGAGAAAAAGAGAGAGGGGGGGAGAGAGGGAGAGAAAGAGAGAGAAAAGAGAGGGAGAGAGGGAGGGAGAGAGAGAGAAAGAAAGAAAGAAAGGGGGAGAGGAGAGAGGGAGAAAGAGAGGGAGAGAGAGAAAGAGAGAGTGAGAGGAAAGAGGGAGAGGGAGAGGAAAGAGAGAAAGAGAGAGAGAGAGAAAGAGAGAAAGAGAAAGAGAGAGAGGAAACAGAGAAAGAGATAGAGAGAGAGAGAACTCATGCACAGCAGCCTCTATTTTATTTTTAATTAAACCCTTCAAACAAGCTCCGCCCCTCATGCCTGTGCATGTGCGCTTGCAAGTTTTGCTGCTCCCAGTGTTTTTTTTTCCTCTGGGAAACGGGTCCAAGTGGCTCTTTGAGTGTTTAAGGTTGCAGACCCCTGGCTTAGGCCATCATTTTGCAGGATTTCGAGGTATACTGAGAAAATGCCATTTTGGTTTTCAGAACATCAAAGAAGCAGCTAGGAAGATATGTATCTGCTGAATCAGGTTTCTCCTGTTGAAAGAAAAACCATCAGGTCCAATCCAAACTGGGAATAAATAAAATGGAGGCTGTTTGGAAAGAAGATTCCTGTTTATTTACTTACCCGAAACTTCAGTGACACAGCATGTTTCTGGGTGGCTGACAAAATGGAGCTGGGAATGGTGGGCTTTTATACCTTCTTTGGGCTTTGTATTTGAGGTTCTTCCTGTCCCTGTGCAATGTACTTACACCTGGCTTGAGTGTGCCCTTTTTGGGTTTTTTAAAGGTGGTGGGTTAATCCTATTATGTCCTAAAGGTCACGTTCCTGTCCTTCATCTCTTCATTTGGAGGCTTCTTTCAAGTAGGAAGGCCTGAGTCATCCTGATTTGCGGCCTCCCACTTGTGGGCCTTCTCCTGCACTTGCTACTCTGGACAAGCAGGTAGCCACTCCCGAGAAACCTTCAACCTTCCACAAAATGTCAAAAATGAAGACGTGGCTCAAGATTTCTTAACATCCATCTTGAAATAGTCAGCTAACAATCACTGCCCCAAAGAAAGGAATAGAGCAGTCCATGGAGTGTGGGCGATGGGGAGGTCCTGCCCTTCTGATCTGGCCAGCTTCTCAGCTCATGGTCCAGCCAGCTGGGCGCAGGGCCAATTGGTCACCGGTCTCTGACCGACGTGCTGGTTCCATCTGCCCATAGAAGGCAGGAAAGGAGTCACAAAAAGGGACAATTTTACAAAAGGATCATCATCGTCGTCGTCATCATTACCAAGAAACCCAGACCAGCTTCAGTTCCCAGAGAGGCTCCAGGCCCCTCGCAAAGCCTGTTGCATGAGGAAGCCTTTTGACGAAGGAGCACAGACTTGGCCGACTCTTCCTTAGCGCTCTTGTGCCAAGGAAGCCCCTGGGAGCCATAGAGACCCCCAATCTTGCCCACCTCCCCCTCCCTGCCTCCCTCCCACCATCCACAGGGAGCTTGGATTCTCCAAGGTCGATGGGGGTGACAACCTCCTTAGCGGAGCTGTTTTCACACCCTTTGTCTGTTGTCTCAGCACAACTCTGGATTTCCAGAAAGCTGGCAAGGGGCTCCCGGGAATTAAAACCCACCAGCAAGAGCAAACGGAGTCCCACATCCAAAAGAAAGAACAGGGAATGTGGCTCCAGGTCTGCTCTGGGACGGAGCACAGAAAGCTCAGCTATTCTGCAGCGATACCACGGAGGGAGGACAGAAGTGCTGATGGAGCTGCAGAGAGTCAGCAACGTAAAACGAGACCTCTGTCGGCCGTTGAAAATGCTAGTGGCACTGAAAAAAGGGATTTATGACCAGTCTTCACAGTTACAACCATTGCAAAATTCCCAGTCACATGATCAAAAGGTGGGCACTTGGCAGCCAGCTTGTATTTGTCACGGTTGCAGTCTTTGGGTCATGTGATCTCAATCTGCGACTTTCCCAACTGGCTTCCAACAAACTAAGTCAATGGGAAAAGCCGGATTCCCTTAATGAAACGAACCCCAAACTCGGGATTCATTTTGCAACTGCAGCGATTTCCTTAACAACGGTAGCTCTGACTCACAGAAGGACCTGCTTGATTCGTTGAGGAACGGCGGGGTTGTATGATGGCCATAAGTCAAGGACTCCCTGCATCCCTCGGGTTCCCTAGGTGGATCCCTTGCAGTAGTGCAGTCACTGTAAGTAACAGAGTGTTTCAGACATTGGCGGTCACTCTGCAGATCCCAGAGGAATTCAAGCAAGGCCGCCCTCCGTGGGGGGAGATGAGCCCCCTGAATTGGGCAGCTGCACCCAGGCAGTTTTCCTGTGAGAGATGCAGCTTGGCCACTTTCTCTCTCTCTCTCTCTCTCTCTCTCTCTCTCTCTCTCTCTCTCTCTCTCTCTCTCTCTCTCTCTCTCTCTCTTGTTTTATTTTTTATTACTTTAAGGCATAAAATGCAAAAAGACACAAGACAAGAGTAGGAAGAATTGGGGAGGAAAAAAGGGAGGGAAAAGGGGGAAAGAGAAAGAAAAGGCGTTAACTTCCAACTCCCTTCGCAAACTAACCCCGGCATTTCCTAGTGGTCTCCTATCCCTGCTTTAATCCAAGTCTGCTTAAGCTTTTCCAGATCAGTCCACTGCTACATCCTTAAGGCAGTCCTCGACTTACAGCCAGAATTGGAACCAGTATTGCCATTGCTAAGCTAGGTGGTCCTTAAGCAAGTTGTCTTCAGATTTACGGTGTTTTTGACATGATCGTTAAGCGAATCACGGTAGTTGTTTAGTGAATCAGGCAGTCATTAAGCAAGTGCAGTTTTGCCCATTGCTGTCACTTGTCGTAACTCCAAGCCGATGTCCCTGCACCCAAGTCATGAGCGTGTGACCTTGGGGTTGCTGCTACAGTCGTATGTGCGAGGACCCGTGATACATCACACTTTTCAGTGCCATTGGAACTTTGAACGGTCCCAAAAGGAAAGGCTATAAAACGAGGACTATTATGGGGTACTTGGTTAGGGACTGTACAACATTTAATCTTTTTGTTTCTTTACCCACATTCTCATAACATCTTTTTAAGATGAATAACATCTAATCCTTATGTGTATTTCCCTTTGACTCCATTTGACATGGACACAAAAACCTGGATTCTCTGGATCTCTAATGCTAGATTTCAGATGCAAGGGACAACGTTTTATTTAAACAAAACAAGGGGCAACATCTGTGGCTTCCCAGCTCTCCGGACAATGGACAGTTGTCCATTCAGGTCAACAATCTACAGCAGCAACAGCAGCCGCCGCAGAGCTGTGCTTCCCAGGCCACAGTGGGAGACCTGTGGAAAACCGAGGAGGACAACGGAGAAGGACTGAACCATGTCAAAATGGTGATGCAAGAATTACAGCTGCAGACCAGGTGGTTGGAGAAAGACAGTGAAGATCTCCACAGGGAGGTCCCCAGCCAATGACCTTCTTCAGAAATGGTTTTTGTACTCCTAAGCGACCAGCACATGAGACAACTCGCTGACCCTCTCTCCCCATAGCTGGAATGGAGGAACGGTGGCCTTTTACCCTTTTGAGAAAGAAAAGGAATTCTTCCCCTCCCTTCCGCTGACTTGCCACCTAGTGTGCCGGGGAGCCAGGCGAGCCCCCCCCTTACCAGCTGAAGCAACAGCTTCACCGTCGCCCTCCCAGTCACTGATTTATCTGACACACCAGCATTTCCCGGGTGAGTCCCTGATGCCATTAATGGTCATTAAGCAAGTGCAGTTTTGCCCATTGCTGTCACTTGTCGTAACTCCAAGCCGATGGCCATGCACCCAAGTCATGAGTGTGCGATCCTAGGGTTGCTGCTACAGTCATATGTGCAAGGACCCGTGATACATCACTCTTTTCAGTGCCATTGGAACTTTGAACGGTTCCAAAAGGAAAGGCTATAAAACGAGGACTATTGTAGGGTACTTGTTTAGGGACTGTACAAGATTTAATCTTTTTGTTTCTTTAGCCACATTCTCATAACATCTTTTTAAGATGAATAACATCTAATCCTTATGTGTATTTCCCTTTGATTCCAATTGACATGGACAGAAACCCTGGATTCTCTGGATCTCTAATGCTAGATTTCAGATGTAAGGGACAACGTTTTAATTTGGACTTTACCCCCAAAACAAGGGGCAACATCTGTGGCTTCCCAGCTCTCCGGACAATGGACAGTTGTCCATTCAGGTGGAGGAGCTCTGGTGGATGAGGATTCAGGGCTCACTTGCAAAAGCCCTTGAAGAGCCGGCCAATCAGTGAATAAGGCATGCCCTCCAGTGAAGGCAGCCATATGGTGATTATTTTTCAACTCTCAGCTTGGCTTGTGACATCAGGGGCTCCTGCTAACCTCATTGGCTGGAGATTGCCATGACAACCTCCAGCATCCTTGGTAGTCTGGACCACAGGGCTGGAAGGCTCTGTTCCAAATCCCTGGAAAATGACTGGATTGGATGGCTGGCACTGTGGGCACAGCGAGGACCTCCCTCGTTTGGACGTGTCAGAAGGAAGAGACACTTCCCATTAAGGCAGAATTAGGGGGCGAGACTAGAAAAGTGGGGTTCAATCCCGGATCACAGCGGTGCTGATACCTGCCATGTTAGCAGCCTCCATATATGTGACCAAACTGCCAATCCACCATCTCAAAGGTACATATCTCTGGAAAGGGGCTGGGACCAGCTGGCTGGGGGGATGGGACAGCAATGTGATTTAGGAAAAAATGGTCTTCAAGATGTCCCAGTTCAAGATACACATTGAGACCATAAAGTTAGAAATTGACCGGGCTCAAAGATTTGCGGAAATTAAGCTAAAAACGGACTCCTTTGGCTACATATGGTTATTTCCCGAACACACTCGGCCTGGTGATAGATTTACTTATTTATTTATTATTTTTATTACTGAGATTTATTACTGACCTTTATTGTTTCCCTAAATAGCTCAAGACAGTGAACGTACCGAAGAGTCCTTCATCCCTACAACAACAAGCTTGTGAGGTAGGCTAAGACTGAGAGAGGGAGACTGGCTCAAGGTCACCCAGCAGACTGTCGTGCCTTGGATGGCCCTGGTCAGTACTTGGAGCGGAGGCTTCTTTCCTATTTCGCCTCTTACGGTCACCAGAAGCAACCTAGTAGGGCCAGAGATGGCCAAACTGATCGATTGCTGATACCGACATCTTTGCACTCTTTTGAGAGGTGATTTGTCTTGAAAAGGAGTCAGAATCAAATGGGAAGTTGGGACAGTTAGAAGGGAGGTCATGATCGATGCATTATATCCGTGTTTCCCAAAATGGGCCACTTTAAGGCCGGTTAGCAAAATGGCCCCTGAACGGAGGAAGGATGTGACTGTGTCTCTCCATTTCTTCAGACAGGTCAGCAACAGGGAAGAAACGGTCCTAAAGTGAATATCTCTGGGCTATCTCTCAGCGGCCAGTGATGGTCTCCATCTCCATCTTCAGACCCAGGAATTCAAGAGACAAACAATGGATGAAAGAGCAGCACACTTGCCTCAAGAAGATGGTCGATCAACTAAAGAGCACAACAAAAAAGTGGCAGAAACCTGCTGGACAAAAGAGAAAGGTTGGAGCGTGCCACCACCATGATCCCTCAGCGAGGGCTAAAGATCAAATATTTGGTGAAACACACTGAAGAACTGCACAAAGAACGGTGCAGGTCAGCAGCCAAGCGGCCTTTCTCAAATATGAGAAGGCTGCCTTAGAACCTTTGAGAAGAGGTCTCGAAGAAATCTTGAACCTTCTTAAGAACTTAAGAAGCACCTCTAAAGTCTGCAGCATTTACAGGTTGCGACGGACCAAAGTTACTATGTGGAGAAAAGCCACTCCAGCCAACTGATGCCGAAAGTCAGTCCTCTTCAGCAGAATGTGAGGGAAAAAAAGAAGCAGGTCAACAATCTACAGCAGCAACAGCAGCCGCCGCAGAGCTGTGCTTCCCAGGCCACAGTGGGAGACCTGTGGAAAGCCGAGGAGGACAACGGAGAAGGACTGAACCATATCAAAATGACGATGCAAGAATTGCAGCTGCAGACCAGGTGTTTGGAGAAAGACAGAGAAGATCTCCACAGGGAGGTCCCCAGCCAAGTGGCCTTCTTCAGAAATGGTTTTGGCGCTCCTAAGCGACCAGCACATGGGACAACTCGCTGACCCTCTCTCCCCATAGCTGGAATGGAGGAACGGTGGCCTTTTACCCTTTCAAGAAAGAAAAGGAATTCTTCCCCTCCCTTCCCCTGACTTGCCACCTAGTGTGCCGGGGAGCCAGGCGAGCCCCCCCCCCCACCAGCTGAAGCAACAGCTTCACCGTCGCCCTCCCAGTCACTGATTTTTCTGACACCCCAGCACTTCCCGGGCGAGTCCCTGATGCCATTAATGGTCATTAAGCAAGTGCAGTTTTGCCCATTGCTGTCACTTGTCGTAATTCCAAGCCGATGGCCCTGCACCCAAGTCATGAGCGTGCGATCCTGGAGATGCTGCTACAGTCATATGTGCGAGGACCCGTGATACATCACACTTTTCAGTGCCATTGGAACTTTGAACGATCCCAAAAGCAAAGGCTATAAAACGAGGACTATTGCAGGGTACTTGTTTAGGGACTGTACAAGATTTAATCTTTTTGTTTCTTTAGCCACATTCTCATAACATCTTTTTAAGATGAATAACATCTAATCCTTATGTGTATTTCTCTTCGACTCCATTTGTCATGGACACAAAACCCTGGATTCTCTGGATCTCTAATGCTAGATTTCAGATGCAAGGGACAACGTTTTAATTTGGACTTTACCCCCCAAAAAAGGGGCAACATCTGTGGCTTCCCAGCTCTCTGGACAATGGACAGTTGTCCATTCAGGTGAAAGCTCTGGTGGATGAGGATTCAGGGCTCACTTGCAAAAGCCCCTGAAGAGCCAACCAATCAGTGAATAAGGCAGGCCCTCCAGTGAAGGCAGCCAGTTGGTGATTATCTTTCAACTCTCAGCTTGGCTTCTGACATCAGGGGCTCCTCCTAACCTCATTGGCTGGAGGTTGCCATGACAACCTCCAGCATCCTTGGTAGTTTGGACCACAGGGCTGGAAGGCTCTGTTCCAAATCCCTGGAAAGTGACTGGATTGGATGGCTGGCACTGTGGGCACAGCGAGGACCTCCCTCGTTTGGACGTGTCAGAAGGAAGAGACAGTTCCCGTTAAGGCAGAATTAGGGGGCGAGACTAGAAAAGTGGGGTTCAATCCCGGATCACAGCGAGGCTGATACCTGCCATGTTAGCAGCCTCCATATATGTGACCAAACTGCCAATCCACCATCTCAAAGGTACATATCTCTGGAAAGGGGCTGGGACCGGCAGGCTGGGGGGATGGGACAGCAATGTGATTTAGGAAGAAATCAAGATGTCCCAGTTCAAGATACACATTGAGACCATAAAGCTAGAAATTGACCGGGCTCAAAGATTTGCGGAAATTACGCTAAAAAGGGACTTCTTTGGCTAGATATGGTTATTTCCCGAACACACTCGGCCTGGTGATAGATTTACTTATTTATTTATTATTTTTAATACTGAGATTTATTACTAACCTTAATTGTTTCCCTAAATAGCTCAAGGCAATGAACATACCGAAGACTCCTTCGTCCCTACAACAACTAGCTTGTGAGGTAGGCTAAGACTGAGAGAGGGAGACTGGCTCAAGGTCACCCAGCAGACTGTCGTTCCTTGGATGGCCCTGGTCAGTACTTGGAGCGGAGGCTTCTTTCCTAATTCGCCTCTTACGGTCACCAGAAGCAACCTAGTAGGGCCAGAGATGGCCAAACTGACTGATTTCTGATACCGACTCCTTTGCACTCTTTTGAGAGGTGATTTGTCTTGAACAGGAGTCAGAATCAAATGGGAAGTCAGGATAGTTAGAAGGAAGGTCATGATCGATGCATTATGTCCGTGTTTTCCAAAATGGGCCACTTTAAGGCCGGTTAGCAAAATGGCCCCTGAACGGAGGAAGGATGTGACTGTGTCTCTCCATTTCTTCAGACGGGTCAGCAACAGGGAAGAAACTGTCCCACAGTGAAAATCCCTGGGCTATCTCTCAGTGGCCAGTGATGGTTAAGCAGTCAAGAGTTGCCTTTGACCTTCAGACCCAGGAATTCAAGAGACAAACGATGGATGAAAGAGCAGCACAGTTGCCTCAAGAAGACGGTCGATCAACTAAAGAGCACTACAACAAAGTGGCAGAAAACTGCTGGACAAAAGAGAAAGGTTGGAGCGTGCCACCACCATGATCCCTCAGCGAGGACTAAAGATCAAATATTTGGTGAAACACACTGAAGAACTGCACAAAGAACGGTGCAGGTCAGCAGCCAAGCGGCCTTTCTCAAATATGAGAAGGCTGCCTTAGAACCTTTGAGAAGAGGTCTCGAAGAAGTCTGGAACCTTCTTAAGAACTGAAGAAGCACCTCTAAAGTCTGCAGCATTTACAGGTTGAGACGGACCAAAGTTACTATGCGGAGAAAAGCCACTCCAGCCAACTGATGCCGAAAGTCAGTCCTCTTCAGCAGAATGTGAGGGAAAAAAAGAAGCAGGTCAACAATCTACAGCAGCAACAGCAGCCGCCGCAGAGCTGTGCTTCCCAGGCCACAGTGGGAGACCTGTGGAAAACCGAGGAGGACAACGGAGAAGGACTGAACCATGTCAAAATGGTGATGCAAGAATTACAGCTGCAGACCAGGTGGTTGGAGAAAGACAGTGAAGATCTCCACAGGGAGGTCCCCAGCCAATGACCTTCTTCAGAAATGGTTTTTGTACTCCTAAGCGACCAGCACATGAGACAACTCGCTGACCCTCTCTCCCCATAGCTGGAATGGAGGAACGGTGGCCTTTTACCCTTTTGAGAAAGAAAAGGAATTCTTCCCCTCCCTTCCGCTGACTTGCCACCTAGTGTGCCGGGGAGCCAGGCGAGCCCCCCCCTTACCAGCTGAAGCAACAGCTTCACCGTCGCCCTCCCAGTCACTGATTTATCTGACACACCAGCATTTCCCGGGTGAGTCCCTGATGCCATTAATGGTCATTAAGCAAGTGCAGTTTTGCCCATTGCTGTCACTTGTCGTAACTCCAAGCCGATGGCCATGCACCCAAGTCATGAGTGTGCGATCCTAGGGTTGCTGCTACAGTCATATGTGCAAGGACCCGTGATACATCACTCTTTTCAGTGCCATTGGAACTTTGAACGGTTCCAAAAGGAAAGGCTATAAAACGAGGACTATTGTAGGGTACTTGTTTAGGGACTGTACAAGATTTAATCTTTTTGTTTCTTTAGCCACATTCTCATAACATCTTTTTAAGATGAATAACATCTAATCCTTATGTGTATTTCCCTTTGATTCCAATTGACATGGACAGAAACCCTGGATTCTCTGGATCTCTAATGCTAGATTTCAGATGTAAGGGACAACGTTTTAATTTGGACTTTACCCCCAAAACAAGGGGCAACATCTGTGGCTTCCCAGCTCTCCGGACAATGGACAGTTGTCCATTCAGGTGGAGGAGCTCTGGTGGATGAGGATTCAGGGCTCACTTGCAAAAGCCCTTGAAGAGCCGGCCAATCAGTGAATAAGGCATGCCCTCCAGTGAAGGCAGCCATATGGTGATTATTTTTCAACTCTCAGCTTGGCTTGTGACATCAGGGGCTCCTGCTAACCTCATTGGCTGGAGGTTGCCATGACAACCTCCAGCATCCTTGGGGAGTCTGGACCACAGGGCTGGGAGGCTCTGTTCCAAATCCCTGGAAAGTGACTGGATTGGATGACTGGCACTGTGGGAACGGCGAGGATCTCCCTCGTTTGGACGTGTCAGAAGGAAGAGACAGTTCCCGTTAAGGCAGAATTAGGGGGCAAGACTAGAAAAGTGGGGTTCAATCCTGGATCACAGCGGTGCTGATACCTGCAGTGTTAGCAGCCTCCGTACCTGTGGACCAACTGCCAATCCACCATCTCAAAGGTACATGTCTCCAGAAAGGGGCTGGGACTGGCTGGCTGGGGGGAGGGGGCAGCAATGTGATCTAGGAAAAAATGGGCTTCAAGATGTCCCAGTTCAAGATACGCATTGAGACCACAAAGCTGGAAACTGATCGGGCTCAAAGATTTGGGGAAATTAAGCTAAAAAGGGACCCCTTTGGCTAGATATGGTTATATCTCGAACACACTTGGCCTGGTGATAGATTTATCTATATTTATTTATTATTTTTATTACTGAGATTTATTACTGACCTTTATTGTTTCCCTAAATAGCTCAAGGCAATGAACATACCGAAGACTCCTTCATCCCTACAACAACTAGCTTGTGAGGTAGGCTAAGACTGAGAGAGGGAGACTGGCTCAAGGTCACCCAGCAGACTGTCGTTCCTTGGATGGCCCTGGTCAGTACTTGGAGCGGAGGCTTCTTTCCTATTTTGCCTCTTACGGTCACCAGAAGCAACCTAGTAGGGCCAGAGATGGCCAAACTGATCGATTGCTGATACCGACATCTTTGCACTCTTTTGAGAGGTGATTTGTCTTGAACAGGAGTTCAAATGGGAAGTCCGGACAGTTAGAAGGGAGGTCATGATCGATGCATTATGTCTGTGTTTCCCCAAATGGGCCACTTTAAGGCCGGTTAGCAAAATGGCCCCTGAACGGAGGAAGGATGTGACTGTGTCTCTCCATTTCTTCAGACAGGTCAGCAACAGGGAAGAAACGGCCCTAAAGTGAATATCCCTGGGCTATGTCAGCAGCCAGTGATGGTCTCCATCTCCAGGTTAAGCAGCCGAGAGATGCCTTTGACCTTCAGACCCAGGAATTCAAGAGACAAACAATGGATGAAAGAGCAGCACACTTGCCTCAAGAAGATGGTCGATCAACTAAAGAGCACAACAAAAAAGTGGCAGAAAACTGCTGGAAAAAAGAGAAAGGTTGGAGCGTGCCACCACCATGATCCCTCAGCGAAGGGACTAAAGATCAAATATTTGGTGAGACACACTGAAGAAGTGCACAAAGAACGGTGCAGGTCAGCAGCCAAGCGGCCTTTCTCAAATATGAGAAGGCTGCCTTAGAACCTTTGAGAAGAGGTCTCGAAGAAGTCTGGAACCTTCTTAAGAACTGAAGAAGCACCTCTAAAGTCTGCAGCATGAATAGGTTGAGACGGACCAAAGTTACTATGCGGAGAAAAGCCACTCCAGCCAACTGATGCAGAAAGTCAGTCCTCTTCAGCAGAATGTGAGGGGAAAAAAGAAGCAGGTCAACAATCTACAGCAGCAACAGCAGCCGCCGCAGAGCTATACTTCCCAGGCCACAGTTGGAGACCTGTGGAAAGCCGAGGAGGACAACGGAGAAGGACTGAACCATGTCAAAATGACAATGCAAGAATTACAGCTGCAGACGAGGTGTTTCGAGAAAGACAGTGAAGATCTCCACAGGGAGGTCCCCAGCCAAGTGGCCTTCTTCAGAAATGGTTTTTGTACTCCTAAGCGACCAGCACATGGGACAACTCGCTGACCCTCACTCCCCATAGCTGGAATGGAGGAACGGTGGCCTTTTACCCTTTCGAAGAAAGAAAAGGAATTCTTCCCCTCCCTTCCCCTCCCTTCCCCTGACTTGCCACTTAGTGTGCCGGGGAGCCAGGCGAGCCCCCCCCCCACCAGCTGAAGCAACACCTTCACCCTCGCCCTCCCAATCACTGCAGGGCTGTCAGCTGAGTTGAACACCTCACAGCCACCAAGCATCAGGGCCTGAGAGGGCTGGGGAATCCCAGGGCTCCGAGCCAAAAAGGAGCCTGGAGGTGAACTTGGTAGGGTGAGTCCACAGGCTCCTCTCCAAGCCTCAGAGTTCCAGCTGAGGATGAGGGCCACCAGGGACAGGGTGAGGGCTCTGCGGTGGGCAGAGCAGAAAGTCTGGCCAGAACAGGATCTGGAACCCAGACCCGAGTGGCTGAATGAGCCGAGCAGCTGGCATCCCAGCAGCCCACAGGAGAGGAGCAGAGAGGAGAACAGCTAGAAGCCGAACTGGGAGCCGAGGGGTCCGCAGGAGACGCCACGAGGCAGCAGAGACCCCCGGAGGCCGCAAGGCTGACGGAGCTGGTGGCAGAGCTGGAAGACAGGGCTGGGCTGAGGGTCTCGGGGGCAGGCAGACATTCCTGCTGCTCCAGAGCCTGCAAGAGAGTGGCAACAGAAGGGAGAAGCCGGGGGTGGTCAGTGGCCTGTGGGTGGTCAAGTAGTCTTAGGGGTGGTAGAACATAAGAGATTGATTCATAGGGCTGGAAGGGACTTTGGAGGTCTTCTACTCCAACCGTCTGCTCAAGGCAGGAACTTTCTGCCATCCCAGTCAAATGGTTTGCTTGTCCATTTTTGAAAACTTCCAGTGATGGAGCACTCACAACTTCTTACTGTCTCAAAATTTCTCCTGACTTCTTGGTTGGGTCTCCCTTTCAACGTCCCCCCTTGTCTTTTTTCCTGCTCTGCAGTTCTTAAGTCACTCCCTGTCCTTTGAGACAAACCCTAACAGTGTGGAAGACTGCTGTTGTGTCTGCCCGATCCTTATCATCTTCGATAGGCTACACATAGCGAACTCCCTGAACCGTTCATGAAACGATTTAGCCTCCAGCTCTTAAATCATCTTTGTTGCTCTTCTCTTCAAACTTTCTGCAGTCTCAACAATGTTTTCTATTGGGCTGACCAGAATTGGATACAGTATTCCAAGGTGGTCTCACCAGCGCGATATAAAGCAGTACCAGCACTTCTGGCGATCTTGAAACTGCCCCTCTTTTATTGCTGCCTAAGACTGCATTGGCCTGTGTTGACAGCTGCAGCACACTTCTGGCTGATCCTTCAGTGGTTTTCCTCTAGATCCGTCTCACAGTTATCCCTGCTGAGCCAGGTACCGCTCCTTCTGTGCCTGTGCAATTGATTTTCCTGCCTAAAGAAGAACTGTACCTTTCTCACCAATGAACTGCATCTTGTTAGATGGGCCCAATGTTCACGTCTGTCAAGATCCTCCTGGATATTGAGCCTATCTTCCAACAATCTTGATGTCCTCTGCACATTTGATGAGTTCCCCTTGTATCCCCTCATCTAGATCATTGATGAAGATGTGGAAGAGTCCTGGGCCCAAGGCAGATCCCTGAGGTTCCCCACTGAATGCTTCCCCCCATGTAGATGTACAGGTAGCTCCATTAAGGAATAAACACTGGGTGCGTCTGGTCAGCCCCCTGAGGACCCATCTGAAGGTGATACTGGTGGATGTCCATTTCTAGGTGCTCGCAAATCCTCCACTTGATTCTCTATTCCAGGATTTTCCCAGGAATTGATGTCAAGTTCTTTTTCCAGTTCTCTGAGAGCTCCCCTGGGCTGCAGGAGCATTCAGAAATGACGTTTGGTGACACCAAAATTAGGTCGGCCAGCTCCTTTGGAAGCCTGGGAGGGTCGGCGTGATTTCTACCCATCCAGAGTGGATTGGTCCTCTTTGACTAATTTCGTGCCTATTTGGAATCGTATACAGATTCTATCTCTCTCGCTGTTGCTGTTGATAGGCTGTTTTTTTTTTCTTTTGCTGAAAAAGAGATGGAAAGGAGTTAAGCATTTCTGAATTCACCCTGCTGCCTGTCTCCTTCCTGCCTTCTGCTCCCATTAGTGGACCTATTGACTTTCTTGACTTTCTTCTTGTTCCTTATATAAAATTTTCCTTTATTATTTTTGGTCTTAGTTGCCAGTCTTTGCCCATTCCAGGCCTTTGCTATTCCGAGTCGGTCCTTGCAAATTCAGTCTACTCGCTGGTATTCTGCTTTACTTATGTGCCCTTCTTTCCATTTTTTTCTACCTGACCATATTGTACTTCTCGGAGGGCTCTTTGAGCAACCATTCTGGTATCTCATGATATCTTTAATTTTTCTGTGTCGTATTGTTTTTTCTCGGTCCTTCATCGTTTCATTTTCCAGGGTTTTCTTTTAATCAAAATGGACATATATATAACACATTACAGGTGTAGAGTTTAGCTATCTATTAGGGCTTGTTAAGGCACTTGAGCTATGTTTTAACCAAACAAGCTTTTTAAAAAGTGGAGACATATAATTAAGGAGAGAAATATCGGCATATATAGGGGGTTTTAGGATTTTTTTTTCATTTCATACTTTAGATATTATATATGCAGTAGACATATATAATGCATTACAAAAATAGTATAGTTATTGAAGATTTGTTTTAGTCTTTTATTTAAAGTGGACATATGCATTGAAAATAGAGTGTAGGAATATATTAGGGCGTTTTTGGTAACTCGAGGTTTGTTCTAAATAAATGTATTTCTCAAACTGTGAACATATAGGGTGCAGGAGAAAAGTGGGGTATTAGGGCTTTTTGAGTTACTGGAGGTGTGTTGTAACAGAATGTTTTTTTAACGTTGGCATATATAATGCAGGCGAGCAATAGAGTACTTACAGCTGGATGTTAGGTCGTCCTTCTCTTGCTCCCCCCGAGAGGCTCTGGAGCAGCAGGAGCTTCTGCCTGCCCCCGAGACCCTCTACCCAGCCCCGTCCCCCAGTTCCGCCACCCGCTCCCTCCGCCTTGCTGCCTCGGCGCTCTCTGCTCCCCCGAGGCCTCTCCTGGGGACCCCTCGGCTCCCGGCCCAGCTCCTGGCTCCTCTCCTCTCTTCTCCTCTCCTGCGGGCTGTGGGCTCCCGACTGCTCGGCCCATTCGGCTGCTTGGTTCCGGTTCCCAGGTCCAGCGGTGGCCAGACTAGCCTGGCACACTAGGTAGCAAGTCTCCCACCCCCTCCCTCTCTGCCCCCGTCCCCCATCCTCTCCTGGATATGTAGTGAAACCTGATTGTGCGGCTGCCATCCTGATTTTTCTGCCACCCCAGCACTTCCTGGGCGAGTCCCTGCTGCCATTAATGGTCATTAAGCAAGTGCAGTTTTGCCCATTGCTGTCACTTGCCGTAACTCCAAGCCGATCGCCCTGCACCCAAGTCATGAGCGTGCAACCCTGGAGATGCTGCTACAGTCATATGTGCGAGGACCCGTGATACATCACTCTTTTCAGTGCCATTGAAACTGTAGGCACAGCGAGGATCTCCCTCGTTTGGATGTGTCAGAAGAAAGAGACAGTTCCCATTAAGGCAGAATTAGGGGGCGAAACTAGAAATGTGGGGCTCAGTCCCGGATCACAGCGGTGCTGATACCTGCCGTGTTAGCAGCCTCCGTTCCTGTGGACCAACTGCCAATCCACCATCTCAAAGGTACATGTCTCTGGAAAGGGGCTGGGGCTGGCTGGCTGGGGGGAGGGGGCAGCAATGTGATCTAGAGAAAAAATGGGCTTCAAGATGTCCCAGTTCAAAATAGGCATTGAGACCACAAAGCTGGAAACTGACCGGGCTCAAAGATTTGGGGAAATTAAGCTAAAAAGGGACTCCTTTGGCTAGATATGGTTATATTTCGAACATACTCGGCCTGGTGATAGATTTACTTATTTATTTATTATTTTTATTACTGAGATTTATTACTAACCTTAATTGTTTCCCTAAATAGCTCAAGGCAATGAACATACCGAAGACTCCTTCGTCCCTACAACAACTAGCTTGTGAGGTAGGCTAAGACTGAGAGAGGGAGACTGGCTCAAGGTCACCCAGCAGACTGTCGTGCCTTGGATGGCCCTGGTCAGTACTTGGAGCGGAGGCTTCTTTCCTATTTCGCCTCTTACGGTCACCAGAAGCAACCTAGTAGGGCCAGAGATGGCCAAACTGATCGATTGCTGATACCGACATCTTTGCACTCTTTTGAGAGGTGATTTGTCTTGAACAGGAGTTCAAATGGGAAGTCCGGACAGTTAGAAGGGAGGTCATGATCGATGCATTATGTCTGTGTTTCCCCAAATGGGCCACTTTAAGGCCGGTTAGCAAAATGGCCCCTGAACGGAGGAAGGATGTGACTGTGTCTCTCCATTTCTTCAGACAGGTCAGCAACAGGGAAGAAACGGCCCTAAAGTGAATATCCCTGGGCTATCTCTCAACAGCCAGTGATGGTTAAGCAGTGAAGAGATGCCTTTGACCTTCAGACCCAGGAATTCAAGAGACAAACAACGGATGAAAGAGCAGCACAGTTGCCTCAAGAAGATGGTCGATCAACTAAAGAGCACAACAAAAAAGTGGCAGAAAACTGCTGGAAAAAAGAGAAAGGTTGGAGCGTGCCACCACCATGATCCCTCAGCGAGGGCTAAAGATCAAATATTTGGTGAGACACACTGAAGAAGTGCACAAAGAACTGTGCAGGTCAGCAGCCAAGCGGCCTTTCTCAAATATGAGAAGGCTGCCTTAGAACCTTTGAGAAGAGGTCTCGAAGAAGTCTGGAACCTTCTTAAGAACTGAAGAAGCACCTCTAAAGTCTGCAGCATGAATAGGTTGAGACGGACCAAAGTTACTATGCGGAGAAAAGCCACTCCAGCCAACTGATGCAGAAAGTCAGTCCTCTTCAGCAGAATGTGAGGGGAAAAAAGAAGCAGGTCAACAATCTACAGCAGCAACAGCAGCCGCCGCAGAGCTATACTTCCCAGGCCACAGTTGGAGACCTGTGGAAAGCCGAGGAGGACAACGGAGAAGGACTGAACCATGTCAAAATGACAATGCAAGAATTACAGCTGCAGACGAGGTGTTTCGAGAAAGACAGTGAAGATCTCCACAGGGAGGTCCCCAGCCAAGTGGCCTTCTTCAGAAATGGTTTTTGTACTCCTAAGCGACCAGCACATGGGACAACTCGCTGACCCTCACTCCCCATAGCTGGAATGGAGGACCGGTGGCCTTTTACCCTTTCAAGAAAGAAAAGGAATTCTTCCCCTCCCTTCCCCTCCCTTCCCCTGACTTGCCACTTAGTGTGCCGGGGAGCCAGGCGAGCCCCCCCCCCACCAGCTGAAGCAACACCTTCACCCTCGCCCTCCCAATCACTGCAGGGCTGTCAGCTGAGTTGAACACCTCACAGCCACCAAGCATCAGGGCCTGAGAGGGCTGGGGAATCCCAGGGCTCCGAGCCAAAAAGGAGCCTGGAGGTGAACTTGGTAGGGTGAGTCCACAGGCTCCTCTCCAAGCATCAGAGTTCCAGCTGAGGATGAGGGCCACCAGGGACAGGGTGAGGGCTCTGCGGTGGGCAGAGCAGAAAGTCTGGCCAGAACAGGATCTGGAACCCACAACCGAGTGGCTGAATGAGCCGAGCAGCTGGCATCCCAGCAGCCCACAGGAGAGGAGCAGAGAGGAGAACAGCTAGAAGCCGAACTGGGAGCCGAGGGGTCCGCAGGAGACGCCACGAGGCAGCAGAGACCCCCGGAGGCTGCAAGGCTGACGGAGCTGGTGGCAGAGCTGGAAGACAGGGCTGGGCTGAGGGTCTCGGGGGCAGGCAGACATTCCTGCTGCTCCAGAGCCTGCAAGAGAGTGGCAACAGAAGGGAGATGCCGGGGGTGGTCAGTGGCTTGTGGATGGTCAAGTAGTCTTAGGGGTGGTAGAACATAAGAGATTGATTCATAGGGCTGGAAGGGACTTTGGAGGTCTTCTACTCCAACCGTCTGCTCAAGGCAGCAACTTTCTGCCATCCCAGTCAAATGGTTTGCTTGTCCATTTTTGAAAACTTCCAGTGATGGAGCACTCACAACTTCTTACTGTCTGAAAATTTCTCCTGACTTCTTGGTTGGGTCTCCCTTTCAACGTCCCCCCTTGTCTTTTTTCCTGCTCTGCAGTTCTTAAGTCACTCCCTGTCCTTTGAGACAGACCCTAACAGTCTGGAAGACTGCTGTTGTGTCTGCCCGATCCTTATCATCTTCGATAGGCTACACATAGCGAACTCCTTGAACCGTTCATGAAACGATTTAGCCTCCAGCTCTTAAATCATCTTTGTTGCTCTTCTCTTCAAACTTTCTGCAGTCTCAACAATGTTTTCTATTGGGCTGACCAGAATTGGATACAGTATTCCAAGGTGGTCTCACCAGTGCGATATAAAGCAGTACCAGCACTTCTGGCGATCTTGAAACTGGCCCTCTTTTATTGCTGCCTAAGACTGCATTGGCCTGTGTTGACAGCTGCAGCACACTTCTGGCTGATCCTTCAGTGGTTTTCCTCTAGATCCGTCTCACAGTTATCCCTGCTGAGCCAGGTACCGCTCCTTCTGTGCCTGTGCAATTGATTTTCCTGCCTAAAGAAGAACTGTACTTTTCTCACCAATGAACTGCATCTTGTTAGATGGGCCCAATGTTCACGTCTGTCAAGATCCTCCTGGATATTGAGCCTATCTTCCAACAATCTTGATGTCCTCTGCACATTTGATGAGTTCCCCTTCTATCCCCTCATCTAGATCATTGATGAAGATGTGGAAGAGTCCTGGGCCCAAGGCAGATCCCTGAGGTTCCCCACTGAATGCTTCCCTTCTTGTAGATGTAGCGGTAGCTCCATTAAGGAATAAACACTGGGTGCGTCTGGTCAGCCCCCTGAGGACCCATCTGAAGGTGATACTGGTGGATGTCCATTTCTAGGTGCTCGCAAATCCTCCACTTGATTCTCTATTCCAGGATTTTCCCAGGAATTGATGTCAAGTTCTTTTTCCAGTTCTCTGAGAGCTCCCCTGGGCTGCAGGAGCATTCAGAAATGACGTTTGGTGACACCAAAATTAGGTCGGCCAGCTCCTTTGGAAGCCTGGGAGGGTCGGCGTGATTTCTACCCATCCAGAGTGGATTGGTCCTCTTTGACTAATTTCGTGCCTATTTGGAATCGTATACAGATTCTATCTCTCTCGCTGTTGCTGTTGATAGGCTGTTTTTTTTTTCTTTTGCTGAAAAAGAGATGGAAAGGAGTTAAGCATTTCTGAATTCACCCTGCTGCCTGTCTCCTTCCTGCCTTCTGCTCCCATTAGTGGACCTATTGACTTTCTTGACTTTCTTCTTGTTCCTTATATAAAATTTTCCTTTATTATTTTTGGTCTTAGTTGCCAGTCTTTGCCCATTCCAGGCCTTTGCTATTCCGAGTCCGTCCTTGCAAATTCAGTCTACTCGCTGGTATTCTGCTTTACTTATGTGCCCTTCTTTCCATTTTTTTCTACCTGACCATATTGTACTTCTCGGAGGGCTCTTTGAGCAACCATTCTGGTATCTCATGATATCTTTAATTTTTCTGTGTCGTATTGTTTTTTCTCGGTCCTTCATCGTTTCATTTTCCAGGGTTTTCTTTTAATCAAAATGGACATATATATAACACATTACAGGTGTAGAGTTTAGCTATCTATTAGGGCTTGTTAAGGCACTTGAGCTATGTTTTAACCAAACAAGCTTTTTAAAAAGTGGAGACATATAATTAAGGAGAGAAATATCGGCATATATAGGGGGTTTTAGGATTTTTTTTTCATTTCATACTTTAGATATTATATATGCAGTAGACATATATAATGCATTACAAAAATAGTATAGTTATTGAAGATTTGTTTTAGTCTTTTATTTAAAGTGGACATATGCATTGAAAATAGAGTGTAGGAATATATTAGGGCGTTTTTGGTAACTCGAGGTTTGTTCTAAATAAATGTATTTCTCAAACTGTGAACATATAGGGTGCAGGAGAAAAGTGGGGTATTAGGGCTTTTTGAGTTACTGGAGGTGTGTTGTAACAGAATGTTTTTTTAACGTTGGCATATATAATGCAGGCGAGCAATAGAGTACTTACAGCTGGATGTTAGGTCGTCCTTCTCTTGCTCCCCCCGAGAGGCTCTGGAGCAGCAGGAGCTTCTGCCTGCCCCCGAGACCCTCTACCCAGCCCCGTCCCCCAGTTCCGCCACCCGCTCCCTCCGCCTTGCTGCCTCGGCGCTCTCTGCTCCCCCGAGGCCTCTCCTGGGGACCCCTCGGCTCCCGGCCCAGCTCCTGGCTCCTCTCCTCTCTTCTCCTCTCCTGCGGGCTGTGGGCTCCCGACTGCTCGGCCCATTCGGCTGCTTGGTTCCGGTTCCCAGGTCCAGCGGTGGCCAGACTAGCCTGGCACACTAGGTAGCAAGTCTCCCACCCCCTCCCTCTCTGCCCCCGTCCCCCATCCTCTCCTGGATATGTAGTGAAACCTGATTGTGCGGCTGCCATCCTGATTTTTCTGCCACCCCAGCACTTCCTGGGCGAGTCCCTGCTGCCATTAATGGTCATTAAGCAAGTGCAGTTTTGCCCATTGCTGTCACTTGCCGTAACTCCAAGCCGATCGCCCTGCACCCAAGTCATGAGCGTGCAACCCTGGAGATGCTGCTACAGTCATATGTGCGAGGACCCGTGATACATCACTCTTTTCAGTGCCATTGAAACTGTAGGCACAGCGAGGATCTCCCTCGTTTGGATGTGTCAGAAGAAAGAGACAGTTCCCATTAAGGCAGAATTAGGGGGCGAAACTAGAAATGTGGGGCTCAGTCCCGGATCACAGCGGTGCTGATACCTGCCGTGTTAGCAGCCTCCGTTCCTGTGGACCAACTGCCAATCCACCATCTCAAAGGTACATGTCTCTGGAAAGGGGCTGGGGCTGGCTGGCTGGGGGGAGGGGGCAGCAATGTGATCTAGAGAAAAAATGGGCTTCAAGATGTCCCAGTTCAAAATAGGCATTGAGACCACAAAGCTGGAAACTGACCGGGCTCAAAGATTTGGGGAAATTAAGCTAAAAAGGGACTCCTTTGGCTAGATATGGTTATATTTCGAACATACTCGGCCTGGTGATAGATTTACTTATTTATTTATTATTTTTATTACTGAGATTTATTACTAACCTTAATTGTTTCCCTAAATAGCTCAAGGCAATGAACATACCGAAGACTCCTTCGTCCCTACAACAACTAGCTTGTGAGGTAGGCTAAGACTGAGAGAGGGAGACTGGCTCAAGGTCACCCAGCAGACTGTCGTGCCTTGGATGGCCCTGGTCAGTACTTGGAGCGGAGGCTTCTTTCCTATTTCGCCTCTTACGGTCACCAGAAGCAACCTAGTAGGGCCAGAGATGGCCAAACTGATCGATTGCTGATACCGACATCTTTGCACTCTTTTGAGAGGTGATTTGTCTTGAACAGGAGTTCAAATGGGAAGTCCGGACAGTTAGAAGGGAGGTCATGATCGATGCATTATGTCTGTGTTTCCCCAAATGGGCCACTTTAAGGCCGGTTAGCAAAATGGCCCCTGAACGGAGGAAGGATGTGACTGTGTCTCTCCATTTCTTCAGACAGGTCAGCAACAGGGAAGAAACGGCCCTAAAGTGAATATCCCTGGGCTATCTCTCAACAGCCAGTGATGGTTAAGCAGTGAAGAGATGCCTTTGACCTTCAGACCCAGGAATTCAAGAGACAAACAACGGATGAAAGAGCAGCACAGTTGCCTCAAGAAGATGGTCGATCAACTAAAGAGCACAACAAAAAAGTGGCAGAAAACTGCTGGAAAAAAGAGAAAGGTTGGAGCGTGCCACCACCATGATCCCTCAGCGAGGGCTAAAGATCAAATATTTGGTGAAACACACTGAAGAACTGCACAAAGAACGCTGCAGGTCAGCAGCCAAGCGGCCTTTCTCAAATATGAGAAGGCTGCCTTAGAACCTTTGAGAAGAGGTCTCGAAGAAGTCTGGAACCTTCTTAAGAACTGAAGAAGCACCTCTAAAGTCTGCAGCATGAACAGGTTGAGACGGACCAAAGTTACTATGCGGAGAAAAGCCACTCCAGCCAACTGATGCAGAAAGTCAGTCCTCTTCAGCAGAATGTGAGGGAAAAAAAGAAGCAGGTCAACAATCTACAGCAGCAACAGCAGCCGCCGCAGAGCTATACTTCCCAGGCCACAGTTGGAGACCTGTGGAAAGCCGAGGAGGACAACGGAGAAGGACTGAACCATGTCAAAATGACAATGCAAGAATTACAGCTGCAGACGAGGTGTTTCGAGAAAGACAGTGAAGATCTCCACAGGGAGGTCCCCAGCCAAGTGGCCTTCTTCAGAAATGGTTTTTGTACTCCTAAGCGACCAGCACATGGGACAACTCGCTGACCCTCACTCCCCATAGCTGGAATGGAGGAACGGTGGCCTTTTACCCTTTCAAGAAAGAAAAGGAATTCTTCCCCTCCCTTCCCCTCCCTTCCCCTGACTTGCCACTTAGTGTGCCGGGGAGCCAGGCGAGCCCCCCCCCCACCAGCTGAAGCAACACCTTCACCCTCGCCCTCCCAATCACTGCAGGGCTGTCAGCTGAGCTGAACACCTCACAGCCACCGAGCATCAGGGCCTGAGAGGGCTGGGGAATCCCAGGGCTCCGAGCCAAAAAGGAGCCTGGAGGTGAACTTGGTAGGGTGAGTCCACAGGCTCCTCTCCAAGCCTCAGAGTTCCAGCTGAGGATGAGGGCCACCAGGGACAGGGTGAGGGCTCTGCGGTGGGCAGAGCAGAAAGTCTGGCCAGAACAGGATCTGGAACCCACAACCGAGTGGCTGAATGAGCCGAGCAGCTGGCATCCCAGCAGCCCACAGGAGAGGAGCAGAGAGGAGAACAGCTAGAAGCCGAACTGGGAGCCGAGGGGTCCGCAGGAGACGCCACGAGGCAGCAGAGACCCCCGGAGGCCGCAAGGCTGACGGAGCTGGTGGCAGAGCTGGAAGACAGGGCTGGGCTGAGGGTCTCGGGGGCAGGCAGACATTCCTGCTGCTCCAGAGCCTGCAAGAGAGTGGCAACAGAAGGGAGAAGCCGGGGGTGGTCAGTGGCCTGTGGGTGGTCAAGTAGTCTTAGGGGTGGTAGAACATAAGAGATTGATTCATAGGGCTGGAAGGGACTTTGGAGGTCTTCTACTCCAACCGTCTGCTCAAGGCAGGAACTTTCTGCCATCCCAGTCAAATGGTTTGCTTGTCCATTTTTGAAAACTTCCAGTGATGGAGCACTCACAACTTCTTACTGTCTGAAAATTTCTCCTGACTTCTTGGTTGGGTCTCCCTTTCAACGTCCACCCTTGTCTTTTTTCCTGCTCTGCAGTTCTTAAGTCACTCCCTGTCCTTTGAGACAGACCCTAACAGTGTGGAAGACTGCTGTTGTGTCTGCCCGATCCTTATCATCTTCGATAGGCTACACATAGCGAACTCCCTGAACCGTTCATGAAACGATTTAGCCTCCAGCTCTTAAATCATCTTTGTTGCTCTTCTCTTCAAACTTTCTGCAGTCTCAACAATGTTTTCTATTGGGCTGACCAGAATTGGATACAGTATTCCAAGGTGGTCTCACCAGTGCGATATAAAGCAGTACCAGCACTTCTGGCGATCTTGAAACTGCCCCTCTTTTATTGCTGCCTAAGACTGCATTGGCCTGTGTTGACAGCTGCAGCACACTTCTGGCTGATCCTTCAGTGGTTTTCCTCTAGATCCGTCTCACAGTTATCTCTGCTGAGCCAGGTACCGCTCCTTCTGTGCCTGTGCAATTGATTTTCCTGCCTAAAGAAGAACTGTACTTTTCTCACCAATGAACTGCATCTTGTTAGATGGGCCCAATGTTCACGTCTGTCAAGATCCTCCTGGATATTGAGCCTATCTTCCAACAATCTTGATGTCCTCTGCACATTTGATGAGTTCCCCTTCTATCCCCTCATCTAGATCATTGATGAAGATGTGGAAGAGTCCTAGGCCGAAGGCAGATCCCTGAGGTACCCCACTGAATGCTTCCCCCCATGTAGATGTACAGGTAGCTCCATTAAGGAATAAACACTGGGTGCGGCTGGTCAGCCCCCTGAGGATCCACCACTTGATTCTCTATTCCAGGATTTTCCCAGGAATTGATGTCAAGCTCTTTTTCCAGTTCTCTGAGAGCTCCCCTGGGCTGCAGGAGCATTCAGAAATTATATTTGGTGACCCCAAAATTAGGTCTGCCAGCTCCTTTGGATGCCTGGGAGGCAAACCATCTGGTCGGCGTGATTTCTACCCATCCAGAGTGGATTGGTCCTCTTTGACTAATTTCGTGCCTATTTGGAATCGTATATTGATTCTATCTCTCTCGATGGTGCTGTTGATAGGCTGTTTTTTTTCTTTTGCTGAAAAAGAGATGGAAAGGAGTTAAGCATTTCTGAATTCACCCTGCTGCCTGTCTCCTTCCTGCCTTCTGCTCCCATTAGTGGACCTATTGACTTTCTTGACTTTCTTCTTGTTCCTTATATAAAATTTTCCTTTATTATTTTTGGTCTTAGTTGCCAGTCTTTCCCCATTCCAGGCCTTTGCTATTCCGAGTCGGTCCTTGCAAATTCAGTCTACTCGCTGGTATTCTGCTTTACTTATGTGCCCTTCTTTCCATTTTTTTCTACCTGACCATATTGTACTTCTCGGAGGGCTCTTTGAGCAACCATTCTGGTATCTCATGATATCTTTAATTTTTCTGTGTCTTATTGTTTTTGCTCGGTCCTTCATCGTTTCATTTTCCAGGGTTTTCTTTTAATCAAAATGGACATATATAATACATTACAGGTGTAGCGTTTAGCTATCTATTAGGGCTTGTTAAGTCAGTTGAGCTATGTTTTAACCAAACAAGCTTTTTAAAAAGTAGAGACATATAATAAAGGAGAGAAATATCGGCATATATAGGGGGGGGGGGTTAGGATTTTTTTTTCATTTCATACTTTAGATATGATACATGCAGTAGACATATATAATGCATTACAAAAATAGTATAGTTATTGAAGATTTGTTTTAGTCTTTTATTTAAAGTGGACATATGCATTGAAAATAGAGTGTAGGAATATATTAGGGTGTTTTTGGTAACTCGCGGTTTGTTCTAAATAAATGTATTTCTCAAACTGTGAACATATAGGGTGCAGGAGAAAAGTGGGGTATTAGGGCTTTTTGAGTTACTGGAGGTGTGTTGTAACAGAATGTTTTTTTAACGTTGGCATATATAATGCAGGCAAGCAATAGAGTACTTACAGCTGGATGTTAGGTCGTCCTTCTCTTGCTCCCCCCGAGAGGCTCTGGAGCAGCAGGAGCTTCTGCCTGCCCCCGAGACCCTCTACCCAGCCCCGTCCCCCAGTTCCGCCACCCGCTCCCTCCGCCTTGCTGCCTCGGCGCTCTCTGCTCCCCTGAGGCCTCTCCTGGGGACCCCTCGGCTCCCGGCCCAGCTCCTGGCTCCTCTCCTCTCTTCTCCTCTCCTGCGGGCTGTGGGCTCCCGACTGCTCGGCCCATTGGGCTGCTCGGTTCCGGTTCCAGCGGTGGCCAGACTCGCCCGGCACACTAGGTAGCAAGTCCCCCACCCCCTTTCTTTCTGCCCCAGTCCCCCATCCTCTCCTGGATATGTAGTGAAACCTGATTGTGCGGCTGCCATCCTGATTTTTCTGACACCCCAGCACTTCCTGTGATGCCATTAATGGTCATTAAAGAATGCAAGTTTTCAAATGCAGAATTTTTTTTTCATTTTTTATTCATATTTTATTGATTTCATTTATATAAAACATCTTGTATTTATGGCTTATTTTTGGAAGCTGTGGGGGCAGGGTGTGTTTTGTGGGAGTAGGGGAAGGAAGGGCAATGAAAATGAGCATCCTTCCATGCGAGTCCATCTACCTCGAAGTGTAGCTAAAAAGACAGACGAGTCACTTGACTGTTCTCTCATCTAAGTCATTGATGAAGATATTGAAGAGTCCTGCGCCTAAGACGGAACATTGTGGTACCCCACTGCTTACTTCTCTCCATGTGGATGTAGTGTAGTGAGAGAGAGAAAAAGAGAGAAGGGGGGGAGAGAGGGAGAGAAAGAGAGAGAAAAGAGAGGGAGAGAGGGAGGGAGAGAGAGAAAAAGAAAGGGGGAGAGGAGAAAGGGAGAAAGAGGGAGAGAGAGAAAGAGAGAGCGAGAGGAAGGAGGGAGAGGGAGAGGAAAGAGAAAGAGAGAGAGAGAGACGAAACAGAGAAAGAGAGAGAGAGAGAGAGAGAGAGAGAGAGAGAGAGAGAGAGAGAGAGAGAGAGAACTCATGCACAGCAGCCTCTATTTTATTTTTAATTAAACCCTTCAAACAAGCTCCGCCCCTCATGCCTGTGCACGTGCGCTTGCAAGTTTTGCTGCTCCCAGTGTTTTTTTTTCCTCTGGGAAACGGGTCCAAGTGGCTCTTTGAGTGTTTAAGGTTGCAGACCCCTGGCTTAGGCCATCATTTTGCAGGATTTCGAGGTATACTGAGAAAATGCCATTTTGGTTTTCAGAACATCAAAGAAGCAGCTAGGAAGATATGTATCTGCTGAATCAGGTTTCTCCTGTTGAAAGAAAAACCATCAGGTCCAATCCAAACTGGGAATAAATAAAATGGAGGCTGTTTGGAAAGAAGGTTCTTGTTTATTTACTTACCCGAAACTTCAGTGACACAGCATGTTTCTGGGTGGCTGACAAAATGGAGCTGGGAATGGTGGGCTTTTATACCTTCTTTGGGCTTTGTATTTGAGGTTCTTCCTGTCCCTGTGCAATGTACTTACACCTGGCTTGAGTGTGCCCTTTTTGGGTTTTTTAATGGTGGTGGGTTAATCCTATTATGTCCTAAAGGTCATGTTCCTGTCCTTCATCTCTTCATTTGGAGGCTCCTTTCAAGTAGGAAGGCCTGAATCCAGTCCGCAAATCCCACGGGAGCCCTCTTCTCCGTTCCATCATCCCGCAGCTGTGTTGATTGCAGTTCCAAGAACTCCCATGGATGAGATGCCCATAGGTCAGAAGCATCCCCGATGATGTAATCAAAGCTCTGCTGGGAATGCTGGGAGTTGTAATTGAACTTGTCTGAAATTGCCAAGCTGAAGAAAGCCATCCCCAGGACGGATTCAAGACACCAGACCCCCTCCTGAAGATCAACACTGTGTTTGCACCCAGAAGCTCTTTCCCCTCTGTCCTTCTCCCACTTCCTATCTCTTTCCTCAATTCCCAGGAAAGAAGAAGAATCCGGTGCAATGAGTCATCCTGATTTGCGGCCTCCCACTTGTGGGCCTTCTCCTGCATTTGCTACTCTGGACAAGCAGGTAGCCACTCCCAAGAAACCTTCAACCTTCCACAAAATGTCAAAAATGAAGACGTGGCTCAAGATTTCTTAACATCCATCTTGAAATAGTCAGTTAACAATCACTGCCCCAAAGAAAGGAATAGAGCAGTCCATGGAGTGTGGGCGATGGGGAGGTCCTGCCCTTCTGATCTGGCCAGCTTCTCAGCTCATGGTCCAGCCAGCTGGGCGCAGGGCCAATGGCTCACCGGTCTCTGACCGACGTGCCGGTTCCATCTGCCCATAGAAGGCAGGAAAGGAGTCACAAAAAGGGACAATTTTACAAAAGGATCATCATCGTCGTCGTCATCATTACCAAGAAAGCCAGACCAGCTTCAGTTCCCAGAGAGGCTCCAGGCCCCTCGCAAAGCCTGTTGCATGAGGAAGCCTTTTGACGAAGGAGCACAGACTTGGCCGACTCTTCCTTAGTGCTCTTGTGCCAAGGAAGTCCCTGGGAGTCATAGAGACCCCCAATCTTGCCCACCTCCCCCTCCTTGCCTCCCTCCCACCATCCACAGGGAGCTTGGATTCCCCAAGGTCGATGGGGGTGACAACTTCCTTAGCGGAGCTGTTTTCACACCATTTGTCTGTTGTCTCAGCACAATTCTGGATTTCCAGAAAGCTGGCAAGAGGCTCCCAGGAATTAAAACCCACCAGCAAGAGCAAACGGAGTCCCACATCCAAAAGAAAGAACAGGGAATGTGGTTCCAGGTCTGCTCTGGGACGGAGCACAGAAAGCTCAGCTATTCTGCAGCGACACCACGGAGGGAGGACAGAAGTGCTGATGGAGCTGCAGAGAGTCAGCAACGTAAAACGAGACCTCTGTCGGCCGTTGAAAATGCTAGTGGCACTGAAAAAAGGGATTTCTGACCAGTCCTCACAGTTACAACCATTGCAAAATTCCCAGTCACACGATCAAAATATGGGCACTTGGCAGCCAGCTTGTATTTGTCACGGTTGCAGTCTTTGGGTCATGTGATCTCAATTTGCAACTTTCCCAACCGGCTTCCAACAAATTAAGTCAATGGGAAAAGCCGGATTCCCTTAATGAAACGAACCCCAAACTCGGGATTCATTTCGCAACTGCAGCGATTTCCTTAACAACGGTAGCTCTGACTCACAGAAGGACCTGCTTGATTCACTGAGGAACGGCAGGCTTGTATCATGGCCATAAGTCAAGGACTCCCTGCATCCCTCGGGTTCCCTAGGTGGATCCCTTGCAGTAGTGTAGTCGCTGTAAGTAACAGAGTGTCTCAATCCTTGGCGGTCACTCTGCAGATCCCAGAGGAATTCAAGCAAGGCCGCCCTCCGTGGGGGGAGATGAGCCCCCTGAATTGGGCAGCTGCACCCAGGCGGTTTTCCTGTGAGGGATGCAGCTTGGCCACTTTCTCTCTCTCTCTCTCTTGTTTTATTTTTTATTACTTTAAGGCATAAAATGGAAAAAGACACAAGACAAGAGTAGGAAGAATTTTGGAGGAAAAAAGGGAGGGAAAAGGGGGAAAGAGAAAGAAAAGGCGTTAACTTCCAACTCCCTTCACAAACTAACCCCGGCATTTCCTAGTGGTCTCCCATCCCTGCTTTAATCCAAGTCTGCTTAAGCTTTTCCAGATCAGTCCACTGCTACATCCTTAAGGCAGTCCTCGACATACAGCCAGAATTGGAACCAGTATTGCCATTGCTAAGCTAGGTGGTCCTTAAGCGAGTTGTCCTCAGATTTACGGTGTTTTTGACATGATCGTTAAGCGAATCACGGTAGTTGTTTAGTGAATCAGGCAGTCATTAAGCAAGTGCAGTTTTGCCCATTGCTGTCACTTGTCGTAACTCCAAGCCGATGGCCCTGCACCCATCATGAGTGTGCGATCCTGGTGTTGCTGCTACAGTCATATGTGCGAGGACCCGTGATACATCACTCTTTCAAGTGCCATTGGAACTTGGAACAGTCCCAAAAGCAAAGGCTATAAAATGAGGACTATTATGGGGTACTTGGTTAGGGACTGTACAACATTTAATCTTTTTGTTTCTTTAGCCACATTTTTATAACATCTTTTTAAGCTGAATAACATCTAATCCTTATGTGTATTTCCCTTCGACTCCATTTGACATGGACACAAAACCTTGGATTCTCTGGATCTCTAATGCTAGATTTCAGATGCAAGGGACAACGTTTTAATTTGGACTTTACCCCAAAAACAAGGGGCAACATCTGTGGCTTCCCAGCTCTCCGGACAATGGACAGTTGTCCATTCAGGTGGAGAAGCTCTGGTGGATGAGGATTCAGGGCTCACTTGCAAAAGCCCCTGAAGAGCCGGCCAATACATGAATAAGCCAGGCCCTCCAGTGAAGGCAGCCAGTTGGTGATTATTTTTCAACTCTCAGCTTGGCTTGTGACATCAGGGGCTCCTGCTAACCTCATTGGCTGAAGATTGCCATGACAACCTCCAGCATCCTTGGTAGTCTGGACCACAGGGCTGGAAGGCTCTGTTCCAAATCCCTGGAAAGTGACTGGATTGGATGGCTGGCAGTGTGGGCACAGTGAGGACCTCCCTCATTTGGACGTGTCAGAAGGAAGAGACAGTTCCCGTTAAGGCAGAATTAGGGGGCAAGACTAGAAAGGTGGGGTTCAATCCTGGATCACAGTGGTGCTGATACCTGCAGTGTTAGCAGCCTCCGTACTTGTGGCCAAACTGCCAATCCACCATCTCAAAGGTACATGTCTCCAGAAAGGGGCTGGGACTGGCTGGCTGGGGGGAGGGGGCAGCAATGTGATTTAGGAAAAAATGGGCTTCAAGATGTCCCAGTTCAAGATACATATTGAGACCACAAAGGTAGAAATTAACCGGGCTCAATGATTTCGGGAAATTAAGCTAAAAAAGGACTCCTTTGGCTACACATGGTTATTTCACTTACAGACTCGGCCTGGTGATAGATTTACTTATTTATTTATTATTTTTATTACTGAGATTTATTACTGACCTTTATTGTTTCCCTAAATAGCTCAAGGCAATGAACATGCTGAAGACTCCTTCGTCCCTATAACAACAAACTTGTGAGGTAGGCTAAGACTGAGAGAGGGAGACTGGCTCAAAGTCACTCAGCAGGCTGTCGTGCCTTGGATGGCCCTGGTCAGTACTTGGAGCGGAAGCTTCTTTCCTAATTCGCCTCTTTCGGTCACCAGAAGCAACCTAGTAGGGCCAGAGATGGCCAAACTGATCGATTGCTGATGCCGACTCCTTTGCACTCTTTTGAGAGGTGATTTGACTTGAACAGGAGTCAGAATCAAATGGGAAGTTGGGACAGTTAGAAGGGAGGTCATGATCAATGCATTATGTCTGTGTTTCCCAAAATGGGCCACTTTAAGGCCGGTTAGCAAAATGGCCCCTGAATGGAGGGAGGATGTGACTGTGTCTCTCCATTTCTTCAGACAGGTCAGCAACAGGGAAGAAACGGCCCTAAAGTGAATATCCCTGGGCTATCTCTCAGTGGCCAGTGATGGTTAAGCAATCAAGAGATGCCTTTGACCTTCTGACCCAGGAATTCAAGAGACAAACAATGGATGAAAGAGCAGCACAGTTGCCTCAAGAAGACGGTCGGTCAACTAAAGAGCACTACAAAAAAGTGGCAGAAAACTGCTGGACAAAAGAGAAAGGTTGGAGCGTGCCACCACCATGATCCCTCAGCGAGGACTAAAGATCAAATATTTGGTGAAACACACTGAAGAACTGCACAAAGAACACTGCAGGTCAGCAGCCAAGCGGCCTTTCTCAAATATGAAAAGGCTGCCTTAGAACCTTTGAGAAGAGGTCTCGAAGAAGTCTGGAACCTTCTTAAGAACTTAAGAAGCACCTCTAAAGTCTGCAGCATGAATAGGTTGAGACGGACCAAAGTTACTATGCGGAGAAAAGCCACTCCAGCCAACTGATGCAGAAAGTCAGTCCTCTTCAGCAGAATGTGAGGGAAAATAAGAAGAAGCAAGTCAACAATCTACAGCAGCAACAGCAGCCGCCGCAGAGCTATGCTTCCCAGGCCACTGTTGGAGACCTGTGGAAAACTGAGGAGGACAACGGAGAAGGACTGAACCATGTCAAAATGACGATGCAAGAATTACAGCTGCAGACGAGGTGTCTCGAGAAAGACAGTGAAGATCTCCACAGGGAGGTCCCCAGCCAATGACCTTCTTCAGAAATGGTTTTTGTACTCCTAAGCGACCAGCACATGGGACAACTCGCTGACCCTCTCTCCCCATAGCTGGAATGGAGGAACGGTGGCCTTTTACCCTTTCGAGAAAGAAAAGGAATTCTTCCCCTCCCTTCCCCTGACTTGCCACTTAATGTGCCGGGGAGCCAGGTGACCCCCCCCACCAGCTGAAGCAACAGCTTCACCCTCGCCCTCCCAGTCACTGATTTTTCTCACACCCCAGCACTTCCCGGGCGAGTCCCTGATGCCATTAATGGTCATTAAGCAAGTGCAGTTTTGACCATTGCTGTCACTTGTCGTAACTCCAAGCCGATGGCCCTGCACCCAAGTCATGAGCGTGTGACCCTGGGGTTGCTGCTACAGTCATATGTGCAAGGACCCGTGATACATCACTCTTTTCAGTGCCATTGTAACTTTGAACGGTCCCAAAAGGAAAGGCTATAAAACAAGGACTATTGTTGGGTACTTGTTTAGGGACTGTACAAGATTTAATCTTTTTGTTTCTTTACCCACATTCTCATAACATCTTTTTAAGATAAATAACATCTAATCCTTATGTGTATTTCCCTTTGACTCCAATTGACATGGACAGAAACCCTGGATTCTCTGGATCTCTAATGCTAGATTTCAGATGTAAGGGACAACGTTTTAATTTGGACTTTACCCCCAAAACAAGGGGCAACATCTGTGGCTTCCCAGCTCTCCGGACAATGGACAGTTGTCCATTCAGGTGGAGGAGCTCTGGTGGATGAGGATTCAGGGCTCACTTGCAAAAGCCCTTGAAGAGCCGGCCAATCAGTGAATAAGGCATGCCCTCCAGTGAAGGCAGCCAGTTGGTGATTATTTTTCAACTCTCAGCTTGGCTTGTGACATCAGGGGCTCCTGCTAACCTCATTGGCTGGAGGTTGCCATGACAACCTCCAGCATCCTTGGTAGTCTGGACCACAGGGCTGGAAGGCTCTGTTCCAAATCCCTGGCAAGTGACTGGATTGGATGGCTGGCAGTGTGGGAACAGCGAGGATCTCACTCGTTTGGATGTGTCAGCAGGAAGAGACACTTCCCGTTAAGGCAGAATTAGGGGGCAAGACTCGAAAAGTGGGGTTCAATCCTGGATCACAGTGGTGCTGATACCTGCCGTGTTAGCAGCCTCCGTTCCTGTGGACAAACTGCCAATCCACCATCTCAAAGGTACATGTCTCCAGAAAGGGGCTGGGACTGGCTGGCTGGGGGGAGGGAGCAGCAATGTGATCTAGGAAAAAATGGGCTTCAAGATGTCCCAGTTCAAGATACGCATTGAGACCACAAAGCTGGAAACTGACCGGGCTCAAAGATTTTGGGAAATTAAGCTAAAAAGGGACTCCTTTGGCTAGATATGGTTATTTCCCGAACACACTCGGCCTGGTGATAGATTTATCTATATTTATTTATTATTTTTATTACTGAGATTTATTACTGACCTTTATTGTTTCCCTAAATAGCTCAAGGCAATAAACATACCGAAGACTCCTTCGTCCCTACAACAACAAGCTTGTGAGGTAGGCTAAGACTGAGAGAGGGAGACTGGCTCAAGGTCACCCAGCAGACTGTCGTGCCTTGGATGGCCCTGGTCAGTACTTGGAGCGGAGGCTTCTTTCCTAATTCGCCTCCTACGGTCACCAGAAGCAACCTAGTAGGGCCAGAGATGGCCAAACTGATCGATTGCTGATAGTGACGTCTTTGCACTCTTTTGAGAGGTGATTTGTCTTGAACAGGAGTCAGAATCAAATGGGAACTTGGGACAGTTAGAAGGGAGGTCATGATGGATGCATTATGTCTGTGTTTCCCCAAATGGGCCACTTTAAGGCCGGTTAGCAAAATGGCCCCTGAACGGAGGGAGGATGTGACTGTGTCTCTCCATTTCTTCAGACAGGTCAGCAACAGGGAAGAAACAGCCCTAAAGTGAATATCCCTGGGCTATCTCTCAGCGGCCAGTGATGGTTAAGCAGTCAAGAGATGCCTTTGACCTTCAGACCCAGGAATTCAAGAGACAAACGACGGATGAAAGAAGATGGTTGATCAACTAAAGAGCACAACAAAAAAGTGGCAGAAAACTGCTGGACAAAAGAGAAAGGTTGGAGCGTGTAGCTCCATTAATCTTGATGTCCTCTGCACATTTGATGAGTTCCCCTTCTATTCCCTCATCTAGATCATTGATGAAGATGTGGAAGAGTCCTAGGCCGAAGGCAGATCCCTGAGGTACCCCACTGAATGCTTCCCTTCTTGTAGATGTAGCGGTAGCTCCATTAAGGAATAAACACTGGGTGCGGCTGGTCAGCCCCCTGAGGACCCACCACTTGATTCTCTATTCCAGGATTTTCCCAGGAATTGATGTCAAGCTCTTTTTCCAGTTCTCTGAGAGCTCCCCTGGGCTGCAGGAGCATTCAGAAATGACGTTTGGTGACCCCAAAATTAGGTCTGCCAGCTCCTTCGGAAGCCTGGGAGGCAAACCATCTGGTCGGCGTGATTTCTACCCATCCAGAGTGGATTGGTCCTCTTTGACTAATTTCGTGCCTATTTGGAATCGTATATAGATTCTATCTCTCTCGATGTTGCTGTTGATAGGCTGTTTTTTTTTCTTTTGCTGAAAAAGAGATGGAAAGGAGTTAAGCATTTCTGAATTCACCCTGCTGCCTGTCTCCTTCCTGCCTTCTGCTCCCATTAGTGGACCTATTGACTTTCTTGACTTTCTTCTTGTTCCTTATATAAAATTTTCCTTTATTATTTTTGGTCTTAGTTGCCAGTCTTTCCCCATTCCAGGCCTTTGCTATTCCGAGTCCGTCCTTGCAAATTCAGTCTACTCGCTGGTATTCTGCTTTACTTATGTGCCCCTCTTTCCATTTTTTTTCTACCTGACCATATTGTACTTCTCGGAGGGCTCTTTGAGCAACCATTCTGGTATCTCATGATATCTTTAATTTTTCTGTGTCTTATTGTTTTTGCTCGGTCCTTCATCGTTTCATTTTCCAGGGTTTTCTTTTAATCAAAATGGACATATATAATACGTTGCAGGTGTAGAGTTTAGCTATCTATTAGGGCTTGTTAAGGCACTTGAGCTATGTTTTAACCAAACAAGCTTTTTAAAAAGTGGACACATATAATAAAGGAGAGAAATATCGGCATATATAGGATTTTATTTATTTATTTATGAGACTTATATACCGCTTTAAGTGCAAGCACTCTCTAAGCGGTGTACACCAGTAAGCAATGTATATATATATTTACATTGCCCCCAACAATCTGGGTCCTCATTTTACCTACCCCGGAAGGATGGAAGGCTGAGTCAACCTTGAGCCGTTGAGATTTGAACCGCTGACCTGCTGAACACAGTCAGCTAAAGCGGCCTGCAGTACTGCACCCTAACTGCTGCGCCACCTCTGCTCTTTCATACTTTACATATGATACATGCAGTAGACATATATAATGCATTACAAAAATAGTATAGTTATTGAAGATTTGTTTTAGCCTTTTTTTAAAGTGGACATATGCATTGAAAATAGAGTGTAGGAATATATTAGGGCATTTTTGGTAACTCGAGGTTTGTTCTAAATAAATGTATTTCTCAAACTGTGAACATATAGGGTGCAGGACAAAAGTGGGGTGTTGGGGCTTTTTGAGTTACTGGAGGTGTGTTGTAACAGAATGTTTTTTTAACGTGGCATATATAATGCAGGCGAGCAATAGAGTACTTACAGCTGGATGTTAGGTCGTCCTTCTCTGACTCCCCCCGAGAGGCTCTGGAGCAGCAGGAGCTTCTGCCTGCCCCCAAGACCCTCTACCCAGCCCCGTCCCCCAGTTCCGCCACCCGCTCCCTCTGCCTTGCTGCCTCGGGGCTCTCTGCTCCTCCGAGGCCTCTCCTGGGGACCCCTCGGCTCCCGGCCCAGCTCCTGGCTCCTCTCCTCTCTTCTCCTCTCCTGCGGGCTGTGGGCTCCCGACTGCTCTGCCCATTGGGCTGCTCGGTTCCGGTTCCAGCGGTGGCCAGACTCGCCCGGCACACTAGGTAGCAAGTCCTCCGCCCCCTTTCTCTCTGCCCCAGTCCCCCATCCTCTCCTGGATATGTAGTGAAACCTGATTGTGCGGCTGCCATCCTGATTTTTCTGCCACCCCAGCACTTCCTGGGCGAGTCCCTGCTGCCATTAATGGTCATTAAGCAAGTGCCGTTTTGCCCATTGCTGTCACTTGCCGTAACTCCAAGCCGATGTCCCTGCATCCAAAAATGGTTTGCTTCTCCATTTTTGAAAACTTCCAGTGATGCAGCACTGACAACTTCTTACTGTCTGAAAATTTCTCCTGACTTCTGGGTTGGATCTCCCTTTCAACGTCCACCCATGTCTTTTTGCCTGCTCTGAAGCTCTTTCCTTTGAGAGAGACCCTAACAGTGTGGAAGACTGCTGTTGTGTCTGCCCGCTCCTTATCATCTTCGATAGGCTACACATAGCGAACTCCCTGAACCGTTCATGAAACGATTTAGCCTCCAGCTCTTAAATCATCTTTGTTGCTCTTCAAACTTTCTGCAGTCTCAACAATGTTTTCTATTGGGCTGACCAGAATTGGATACAGTATTCCAAGGTGGTCTCACCAGTGCGATATAAAGCAGTACCAGCACTTCTGGCCATCTTGAAACTGGCCCTCTTTTATTGCTGCCTAAGACTGCATTGGCCTGTGTTGACACCTGCAGCACACTTCTGGCTGATCCTTAAGTGGTTTTCCTCTAGATCCGTCTCACAGTTATCTCTGCTGAGCCAGGTACCGCTCCTTCTGTGCCTGTGCAATTGATTTTCCTGCCTAAAGAAGAACTGTACTTTTCTCACCAATGAACTGCATCTTGTTAGATGGGCCCAATGTTCACGTCTGTCAAGATCCTCCTGGATATTGAGCCTATCTTCCAACAATCTTGATGTCCTCTGCACATTTGGTGAGTTCTCCTTCTATCCCCTCATCTAGATCATTGATGAAGATGTGGAAGAGTCCTGGGCCCAAGGCAGATCCCTGAGGTTCCCCACTGAATGCTTCCCTTCTTGTAGATGTAGCGGTAGCTCCATTAAGGAATAAACACTGGGTGCGTCTGGTCAGCCCCCTGAGGACCCATCTGAAGGTGATACTGGTGGATGTCCATTTCTAGGTGCTCGCAAATCCTCCACTTGATTCTCTATTCCAGGATTTTCCCAGGAATTGATGTCAAGTTCTTTTTCCAGTTCTCTGAGAGCTCCCCTGGGCTGCAGGAGCATTCAGAAATGACGTTTGGTGACACCAAAATTAGGTCGGCCAGCTCCTTTGGAAGCCTGGGAGGGTCGGCGTGATTTCTACCCATCCAGAGTGGATTGGTCCTCTTTGACTAATTTCGTGCCTATTTGGAATCGTATATAGATTCTATCTCTCTCGATGTTGCTGTTGATAGGCTGTTTTTTTTTTCTTTTGCTGAAAAAGAGATGGAAAGGAGTTAAGCATTTCTGAATTCACCCTGCTGCCTGTCTCCTTCCTGCCTTCTGCTCCCATTAGTGGACCTATTGACTTTCTTGACTTTCTTCTTGTTCCTTATATAAAATTTTCCTTTATTATTTTTGGTCTTAGTTGCCAGTCTTTGCCCATTCCAGGCCTTTGCTATTCCGAGTCGGTCCTTGCAAATTCAGTCTACTCGCTGGTATTCTGCTTTACTTATGTGCCCTTCTTTCCATTTTTTTCTACCTGACCATATTGTACTTCTCAGAGGGCTCTTTGAGCAACCATTCTGGTATCTCATGATATCTTTAATTTTTCTGTGTCTTATTGTTTTTGCTCGGTCCTTCATCGTTTCATTTTCCAGGGTTTTCTTTTAATCAAAATGGACATATATAATACATTACAGGTGTAGAGTTTAGCTATCTATTAGGGCTTGTTAAGGCACTTGAGCTATGTTTTAACCAAACAAGCTTTTTAAAAAGTGGAGACATATAATTAAGGAGAGAAATATCGGCATATATAGGGGGGTTTAGGATTTTTTTTTCATTTCATACTTTAGATATTATATATGCAGTAGACATATATAATGCATTACAAAAATAGTATAGTTATTGAAGATTTGTTTTAGTCTTTTATTTAAAGTGGACATATGCATTGAAAATAGAGTGTAGGAATATATTAGGGCGTTTTTGGTAACTCGAGGTTTGTTCTAA